AGAGAGAGAGAGAGAGAGAGAGAGAGAGAGAGAGAATATGATTTATCATGTGTTCCAGGTGGGAATGCAAAATGATACAGCCACTTGGGAGTTTCTTAAAAAACTTAAATATAGTTTTAGTGTAGCATCTAGCAGTTATGCTTCCAGATATTTAACTAAGTGATTTGAAAATTTATGTTCACACAAAAATCTACATACTAATGTTTGTAGTAACTTTATTTATAATTGCCAAAAGCTGAAGTATACAACAGATACTTAAAGCAATGAGTAGAGAAGCAACATGTGTACATTTGTATAATGGAATGCTATTCCATTGTATGGTGGTGTGTACCATTGAAGGATATCATAAAAAGGCTCATAACACTGTTCTAATCATGAGGAAAACATCAGACAAATCATTCATAAAAAATAAGGAGAGTCTGAGAAACTGTCACAGCTCAGAGGAATCTAAAAAAACATGAGGACTTGGGGCTAGGGTTGTGGCTCAGCAGTAGAGTGCTTGCCTAGCATGTGTGAGGCCCTGAGTTCAATCCTCAGCACCACATAAAAATAAATAAATAAAATAGAAAGGTATTGTGTCTAATTACAGCTAAAAAATAAATATGTATTTACAAAACCATGAGGACTAAATATAATGTGGTATCCAGGTGAGATCTTAGAACAGAAAAAGGTCATTAGGTAAGATTTGGGAAAATTTGAATAAAGCACAGACTTTCGTTAATACTAATTATCAGTATTGGTTCATAATCTGTGACAAATGTAGCATACATTTCTTTTGTAGTATTAGGAATTGAACCAGGGGCCTTGCATGTACTTGCAAGCCCTCCACCACTGACCCATATCCTCAGATCCTTGGAAGTTAATTTTAAAAGTTATGTTATATAAAAAAAAATTATTATCATGACAGAAAGCATTCTTTCCATATTGGCAGAGTCATTGGAATTTAAACAGGATATTTAACAAATTAGAAGCAACTATTTCTTTGCTAAAATTACATTTCTTTTATCTAGTCTTTTTTTTTTTATTGTAGATGGACATAATACCTTTATTTTATTTACTTTTTTTGTGGTGCTGAGGCTTAAACCCAGGGCCTCACACATGCCAGGCAAATGTTTTACCACTGAGCTACAACCCCAGTCCCTTATCTAGTCTTTTTAACCTGCAAAAGTCTCAAAAGAAGATTGTTTGTAATGATTCTGCATATTCTGAATAATAAGTTGAATTTTGAAAAGTTACAAGTCTTTCTGTAGACATTTGACAGCTTTTAAATGTAAATTTATTGAGTTTGTGAGCTGATAACTAGTCCTTTGGCAATACAAATGTAACTTCTGCCCAAAACTGTATCAATTTAATCAAGAAATTTCATAATGATATTGAGGACTTCCTGTGTACCAGGTATAATACTAAGCCTTTTTAAAATTAATTTTTAAAATTTATGTATGACATCGGAATGCATTATAATTCTTATTACACATATAGAGCTCCTTTTTTCATATCTCTGGTTGTATACAAAATATATTCACACCAATTTGTGTCTTTCTACATGTGCTTTGGGTAATAAGTCCATCACATTTCACCATCATTTCTAATCCCATATCCCCTCCCCACCCCCTGCCCTATCTAGAGTTTGTCTATTCCTCCCATGCTCTCCCTCCCTACCCCACTATGAATCAGCCTCCTTATATCAGAGAAAATATTCAGCATTTGGTTTCTTGGGATTGGCTAACTTCACTCAGTAGTATCTTCTCTAACTCCATCTATTTACCTGCAAATGCCATGATTTTATTCTCTCTTATTGCTGAGTAATATCCCATTGTGTATATATGCCATATATTTTTTTATCCATTCATCTATTGAAGGGCATCTGGGTGGGTTCCACAGTTTAGCTATTGTGAATTGTGCTGCTATAAACATTGATATGGCTGTATCCATGTATTATGCTATTTTTAAGTCCTTTGGGTATAGACTGAGGAGAGGGATAGCTAGATCAAATGGTGATTCCATTCCCAGTTTTCCAATAAATCTCCATACTGCTTTTCATAATTGGCTGCACCAATTTGCAGTCCCACCAGCAGTCGCAAAAATTAAAATCAAGAATCAACAAATGGGACGGACTGAAACTAAAAAATTTCTTCTCAGCAAAAGAAACAATCAGTGACGTGAATAGAGAGCCTACATCTTGGGAGCAAATCTTTACCCCTCACACATCAGATAGAGCACTAACCTCTAGGATATATAAAGAACTAAAAAAGCTAAGCACCAAAAAAACCAAATAACCCAATCAATAAGTAGGCCAAGGACCTGAACAGACACTTTTCAGAAGATGGTATACAGTCAGTCAACAAATATATGAAAGTTCATCATCGCTAGCAATTAGAGAAATGCAAATCAAAACTACTCTAAGATATCATCTCACTCTAGTCAGAATGGCAGCTATTATGAAGACAAACAACAATAAGTGTTGGCTAGGATGTGGGGAAAACACACACTCATACAGTGTTGGTGGGGCTGCAAATTGGTGTAGCCAATTTGGAAAGTACTAAGATTTATCTACATCATCCTTGAACTTCAGAGCAACCCTGGGAGGTAGTTACTGTTAGTCCTATTTGACAAGTGAAGAATTTGGGCTGAGAAGACAAGTTCTTTGTCCAAGGTCACACAGCTAGAAAATGGCAGACATTTTCTGAATTTCAGGATACTAATTATTTCATGATAGTATGTTGCAAGATATCTTGCTTTTAAGATAGTGTGTGCAAAATATTATCTAGCTTATCATCTGTCAGAAAGATAAAAGCTAGACTAAACTTTTCTCCCACAAAACAAATAAACAAAAAGCAGCAAATTTTCCAAAAGAATTTGGTTCTATTCTGAATATGTATCTCCTGGCCCCTGGTGACAGACAGGCATCAGTGAAGTGTTGCCCAAAGGTGGGGATGACCTCTAGAAAGACACATTCTTAGAACACAAATTATGAATTAGAGTGATAGCTTATTTTATTGTGTCAGGGAGTTGATGAGTTATGATAATATAGCATGATAATAAAACTGGCATATTATTAAAAGAAAACATTAAGAAATATTTGTCCTTATATTGTATAGGTAAGTCACTAAGTACATGTAATATAGTGACCTGCTCCTAAGCACTGTACATATGTTGGCTCAAATAATTTTTATAAAAACTCTGGAGGAGGTTATCCCCACCTGACTGATACAGAATTAAAGTGTCTAGGCTTGATGGTGCCCACCTGTAATCCCAGACAGGCGCTGGAGGTGAAGGCAGGAGGATCACAAGTTCAAAGCCAGCCTCAGCAATTTAGTGAAGCCCTAAGCAACTTAGCAAGACCCTGTCACAAAATTAAAACTAAAAAATGGACTAAAGATATGACTTAGTGGTTAAATGCCTCTGGGTTTATTGCCTGGTATGAAGACAAAAACAAACAAAAAATCCAAATACATTATATTATAATATAAATAATATATTAAAGCATATTATTTATTTTCTCAGCTACTCAGGATTTTTCAAATGGAGCTAAGTAGAACCTAGTTGGGACACTCCTTAATGGTAGGGACTGTGTTTATTCTTTTTTGTATCCCTATTGCCTATCTTAAGTTTTTGTTACATTTAAGCAATAATCTGCACGATAATAGGTGAGGAGCTTTGAAACACACGCATTCATATCTAAGTTCTCCTAGCAAAGCATTAACATTGCTAGAACTTTGACTTTGTCACTACTGTTGCATTTTAGAGAACAATGTTTTGAACTTCAGTACCCAACACTTTGGGAGTTTATTTTTATTTAATTAATTAATTAATTAATTAATTTGGACTGGAGATTGAACCCAAGGCACTTTACCCTTGAGTTACATTCCCAGTTCTTTTTATTTCTTATGTTGAGACAGGATCTTACTAAGTTGCTGAGGCTGCTGCATATTTGTGATCCTTCAGCCTCTGGAGTACTTGGGATTATAGACATGTACCATCACACACAGCTGTTGATTTTTAAGTTGATTTTCTATATTTATTTAAATTCATTTTATAAAGTTTAATGGTTCTTGTTTCCCCCAAGTAACTGTTTATGTTGATTTGTTTCACAGTCCCTTTTCTAAACGAAAGTTTTCTATTTTTCTGAAAGTGTTGTATTTTCTGAGTTTTAGTCATTTGGTTCTCTCTTCACTTTTCATGATAGTAAACCCTCTTTAGGTCTAGGGATGTAAGTCATCGATAGAATATGTGCCTAGCATGCCATAGACCCTGAGTTCAATTCCCAGTAGCATCAAAACCAAAACCAAAACTAAACCTTCTTTAAGTAGCAGAATGGACCCTGTATGTTGAAAGGAAGAATTAGTAATACTTTTAATAAGAGAATTGTCAGCTTTTGTGTTTTACCCATTATGCCCAGTGTAAAAAATAGTACTAATAGATTTACACACTAATGTCTGTTTATGGGATAGCATAAATATAAAAAATTGTATTTATAAGAATTAAGGAATACCTCATTATTTTTATGAAGTTATTATTTTTATATGTATATATAAAACATTTATATATAAAGTATAATTATCTTTTCAACAAGATTTTTATGCACCACTTATTTCCATAAAAATTAAAAAAAAAATGAAGCTCCCTTTAAGGGAGCTGTATATAGTGTGAGAAATAGAAAGTCTGGTAGCCTTAATTGGATCCAATTGTAGCCACTTCAATTATAGCCCTTCCCTTTTGCTCTCCCTAATTTTAAAATAAACCAATAGTGTAGATTGTATCCCAAGTCTTCCAATCAGAATGCAGGTAGTGCTGTCTGAGGTATATGAAAGGGCAGACTGCCCACCTAGGCGTCCTTGCTAGCCAGGTTCCTTAACTTGCTTCTCTGTCAGAAGTACAGTTTGCCTTGTCCACTTGCTTTTGATTTCTGGTGGCACCTCATTGTTTCTAACACAGTGAATTGTTAGCACATTTAATTGTAATGTCAGAAGTTTAAATTCTTTCCTGTAATAGAGTTCAGAACCTCTATGTTAGAATTGTTTCTGTTTTTTAATAGAAAGACTTACATGGTCAGACAAATGTATTTAAACTTTACCTTTCTTGGGTAAACAATTCTTAAAGCATTGTGTTTATTTATTTTTTTTGCAGATTGATCAGACAGCTGATGCAAGTTTTTTGGGCTGGGTTATTGCTTCGTTTAGTATTGGTCAAATGGTAGCTTCACCTATATTTGGTTTATGGTCTAACCATAGACCACGGAAAGAACCTCTCGTCATCTCCATCTTTATTTCAGTGGCAGCCAACTGCCTCTATGCATATGTCCACGTTCCAGCTTCTCATAATAAATACTACATGTTGGCCGCTCGTGGATTGGTGGGATTTGGAGCAGGTAATATGTTTGTATGTATATGTCTAATTGTGTCAACTTCACATTCATCCTAATGTTTATGCCCTCTTGCCTGGCTTTATTTCTTCTTAGTCTAGTATCTCACAATTGGGCACACCCATCTTTTCTTACAAAGAGGCAAATATGTTTTCCTATCACTTTGCCTTGCTCATTGTGTTTCATTACCTGTAGGTTTTCTCCTTTGTTCCCATTATTATCCTTCAAGATGCAGATTAATTTCTACATCTTACATGAAGCCCTCCCACACCACTCTACCCCTCGATCTTCCTTTTCACTGATCTCTCTCTTGCACTTTCTTATAGTCTTGCATGGTTTTATCCTTTCTTGCTAGTCAGATGGTAAGCTCTTTGCAATTAGAGATAGTTATGATACTTTTTAATCTTCTCTGGCTCCTAGCAGAGTCTCTTGAACATAGTAAGTGCTCAGAAAAACTTTTTTGGGTTTTGAGAATTATATCCAGGGTTTCTCTATCACTGTGCTATATCCCCAGTCCCTCTTATATTTTGTATTTTGAGACAGGGTCTTGGTAAGTTGCCCAGGCTGGCCTGGAACTTGGTGATACTCCTGTATTAATCTCCTAAGCATCTGGGATTACAGGCATGCCCTACCACACCTGGCTCAGTAAAACTCTTGAGGTAAATTGTTATTGGATTTTTTCCCCTATTTCATATATTTCAGGTCTATGCATGCAGAGTTTGTGACATCTTTCCTTTAAAAATAGTTGTAAGGGCTGGGGATGTGGCTCAAGCAGTAGCACGCTCGCCTGCCATGCGTGTGACCCAGGTTCGATCCTCAGCACCACATATCAACAATGATGTTGTGTCCGCCGAGAACTAAAAAATAAATATTAAAAATTCTCTCTCTCTCTCTCTCTTCTCTCACTCTCAAAAAAAAAAAAATAGTTGTAAGCCTAGTGGTGCATGCCTATAGTTCCAGCTACTTGGGAGGCTAAGGTAAGAGGTAAAGGGCAGTCTGAACAACCGAGCAACATTCTGTCTCAAAATAGATGCAAATAAAAAATGGTAGTATGCCATTCACTCAGAGTTTTCTGAGTGCTTAATGGAGAAAGTTTGATATTTTTATAATGCCATTTTTCTATCTATTCAAAACTATGTTTTAATATTACTAAAAATTCTGTTTTCCATTAATTCATGCATTTGTTCAATAAACATTTCTTAAATGCTTTGTATGATCATAAAGAGGAAGCAGTGACTATAATGTTGACCAACATTTCTTTTTTTGCATAGAGCCAAATTAAGTGCCATGTTATAAATTGAAGGATATTCTCTCTTATTGTGGATTATTGTGTCTTTTATTAGGAAATGTTGCAGTGGTTAGATCATATATTGCTGGTGCTACTTCCCTTCAGGAAAGGACAAGTTCTATGGCCAATACAAGTACGTGTCAAGCATTAGGATTTATTCTAGGTCCAGGTAAGTGCTCTTCACTTGTCATGATTTGAATTTGAATTGGGGAAACCTTTGTGTTTTAAAGATACATACAATCCAGTATAAAACCTCCTGGCTGATGGGCAAAATGAGGGAAACTAAATTTTTATTTGTATTTAATCTTTTGCAATGCTGGGCATTGAACCAAAGGGTTTTTGTGTGCTCGGCAAGTGATCTGGCAGTGAAGCAAGGCTCATTTTACTTTGACACCAGTTCTCTCAAGTTAAGTGCTATTTGTCCCACTTTACAGATGAGGATGCAAAAAGCAGAGAGAGCCTAAGAAAATTGGTTACCCAGATAGTAAATGGGAAATTCAGGTTCGGATCTAACTCTGACTCTTGTCAACTAATCAGTTTGATCTGACATCTTTGCAAGAGTTTATTTTTCCATTTATTGAAAACAATTTTTTTTACTAAAGTATTTGAGGAAAGTTATAAGATTCTTTACCCTTTAACCCTTTGCCCATAGCTTTAAGACTTTTCTACGGCTGAAGAAAATGAAAATGTGTTTCATTTTGTGGATTTTGGGGGGGTAGGGTGGGGCATTGGGATTGAACTCAGGTTGCTTAACCACTGAGCCACATCCATAGCCCTTTTTATTTTTTATTTTGAGACAGGGTCTCGAAAAGTTGACTAGGGCCTTGCTAAGTTGCTGAGCCTGGCCTTGAACTTGTGATCCTCCTGCCTCAACCTCCGGAGTTGTTGGGATTATAGGTGTGCACTCTCATGCCTGGTTGAAAGTGTTTACTATTTCTTCCAAAGCCTCTATCCTTTTGCTAAGTATAAAAAAAAAATTAATATGATTTTAATAATTCCCCAAGGCAAATTCATTTGGCTGAGTAGAGAAATTAGTCATTTTTTTTCCAGTTTGTTTGAAATCAACTTTATTCAGAAATAATGTACATAGAATAAAATGTACCCAATTAGAAGTATACTTTGATATTTTGACAAATATATGAATTATTTCGTTTCAACCAAAATATAAAGCATTGATTATCTCAGAAGTTTGCTCGTTATACAATTTTATTTTCAACTATTCCACTTTCCCTGTCATTATAATTTATTTTCTCCCATTCTAGAATTTCATATACTTGGAAATATGTGGTATGATTCTTTATTTGGGACTGGATTCTTTTGTTATTATGCTGTTCTGGTTGTTGATTATTTCATCCGTATTATTTCATATTTTTCATGCCAAATTATGCCATTATACATGAGCTCTCTTTTTTTTGTATTACAATTCTTAATATATCTTTATACCAAAATTTATCATATCTCTGTACATAAGGTACGTTGACACCAAATTTACATCTTCATTTATGTATTTTGTATAATGATTACCGTCATTTTTAATGTCCAGAAAATATTGAAAATCCAGATTCTTGGTCTATGCTTTGGCTGTTGATTACATTTATGACTATTATCAGTTTTGATTTAACTCAGTTTACTTCATCATTAGCACATCACCCCCACCCCCAGTTCCCATTACTTCCTTTTCTTGAGCCAAAAAAGGCTCAACAGAATAGGGTCTAATTCATAGGTTTATCTGAATCCTAATATTTTGGTTTAATATTCTGGAACAAATATAAGCACAAATGTAGATGGGTTGAACCTTAAGGCTATACTGTAAAATACACAAGGACATAGCCTAGGTCTTCTTATTTTTCACTCTGCCTCCTCATTATTAGCACAATACCTTGTGTAGATAGAATATTGTTGACCACCTTCAAAGTTTTGAAAGATTATCTCATTTAAACAGTTTGTGTTATAGATAAGTAAATGGAAGCCTGAAGAGATTTGATGGCTTCTTCAGTAGTAAGCACTGAACAAGTGGTGCATTTACTGAATGCTTGCTATGGGCTGGGCACTGTTCTTTAGGTAGAGCATCTCACTTCCTTCTCACCCTAAGGTTATATGCTAGTGATTAACAGAGCCTCATATAGAATTCAGACAGGAAAGCAAACCACAGTACTGTTGATGTCCAGTTTTGCCACAGATCAAATTTTAAATTATATCAAATATATATAATTTGGGTATATAAATAGTGATATTTAAAATATTTGACCTAAAATATGATGTTTTCTTTGTTATAATGAAACTGATTAAACTTTTATAATTTATTTATTGAAGAAACTGTATAACTTAAATTTCCAATTGGAATTTTTTTTGAGAAAAGATCCTGGGGCTGGGGTGTGGTTCCATGGTAGAGCATGTGCTCTGCATCCTTGAAGTGCTGGGGTTCATGTCTAGCACTCTTCCCCACTCCTCCACCCTATACCTCCAAAAACAAAAAGCAAAAAAAGGAGATATTGACAGGTAACTTAGATATAGTCCTTTGTGGATGCACATACGTCAGTTTCTCTCACTCTTTTATTATTGTCTCCTTAAGGAGTCTTTTCAGACTTTTTTTTTCCGAGTTACTCCACCCCCAGGAAATTTCAATGCCACATCTCTTCATCTATTTTTATGTGCTTTACAATAGAAGAAGGGAATTGTTGTTGCCACCCCCCAATCAAGAACCAATTTTCTTGCTGCTGTGGGGAATGCGTGATGTAGATGGATGATTCCTTAATGTGACTTCCATTCTGAGACAAATGTCTTGCTTTTCTTTAAGCCTGTGCCTCCCATATAATAATTCATTTGTGTACATTTTATTTGAATAAGTTTTTCAGACTTGTTTTGCTCTAATTGGAGAAAAGGGCGTGACATGGGATATGATTAAGCTACAGATAGACATGTATACAGCACCAGCTTTACTTAATGCCTTCGTTGGAGTTTTAAACATTATTCTGATCATCACTGTGTTAAGGTAATTAGAGATGATGATATAAATTTTCATAGATATAAATTTTAATAAGATTTGTCATTATTGGTAGAAAATTCTCCCTATGTAGTCTTTGTTTTTGATATTTATTATAGTTGTGTTCACATTCTTTGATCAGTTAAAGTATGTAGTGATAGCAATTATAATAGTAGACAACTTGATAAATGAGCACAGATTATGAAGATCTTTGAATATTCAAGATTTGATCTTTTTAAAAATTTAATCTTATTTGTTTTCAAGATTTGGTCCTATTGACTACGTGTTTCTAAGTAAGGATATGTTACGGAAGCAGCATTTTAAGTAGATGAATGGATAAGTGTCTTAAATTTATAAGTTGCTTGGAATGTATGTCTCTTATATTAGAGATAATTTTCTAAAATTACAGATGTTTTGTTAACTTTGTTTCTTTAGAATGCTTTATCCAATTGTCCGAAAGCATTTGTAACTAATGTTTCAGATAACTGAAAATTTAAAATACTGACTAAAATAGATCACATATGCTTTTGGATGCATTGGGTATTTTTTTTCATTTTATGGTTAATATAATATGAATTATAACTTCTGTCTTTTTAAGTTTATTGGTTGTATTCATCAGTAGTAATTTCATTACTCAGAAGTCATTAAGGAAACTATATCAGAATGTAAAAAAATAGAATTAAATCTGAACTGTTTCTGTATTAATCATTTTCAAAATACAGTATTTACATTTTTCTTTTTAAGAGAACATCGAGTGGATGACTCAGGACGACAGTGTAAAAATATTAATTTTGAAGAAGGTACTATTCACCTATTTGAGTAAATTACTTTGGCATTATCAAAGTGTTTCTAATGATTGTTTGTTGTTTGCTTGGATTATTCTTCTGAGGACAGTATAATGGGTGTTTGGGAAAAAGCTTCAAAACTGAAAGGACCTAAATTGATTTTTTCAAAAAGAAATTTTTCTATATCAATTATTTGACTCTCTCATGTTGGCAGAGTTAAAACCATTGCTAAGCCAGGCACCATGGCGCACGCCTGTAATCTCAGTGGCTGGGGAGGCTGAGGCAGGAGGATCGAGAGTTCAAAGCCAGCCTCAGCAATAGTGAGATTCTAAGCAACTCAATAAGACTCTGTCTCTAAATAAAATACAAAATAAAGTTGGGGATGTGGCTCAGTGGTTAAGTGCCCCTGAGTTTAATCCCCAGTTCCCCCACCTCCAAAAAAAAATTGCTAAGAATTATTTCATGTTATTTTCGAACAATCAGTTTTCTAAAACTGTGCCTTTCTGTTTCAAGTAATTCTTTATTGCCTTATGGTTTCTCTTTATTGCCATATGGTTTCTCTTTTTTTTTTCATTCTTTTATTATACTTTGTAAATGTACATTTTTCATCCTTTAAATCTTTCTTTGCCTCATAAATAATGTCCAATCTAGGAAGTGGATATATTTTACCAAACACACCATTATTTAAGTGCTAACTGTCCTTGGGGATTGTCTTTCCGTGTTAAACTGTAGCCTGGTCCCTACCCTCAGTGAATATTCAAAGCTATGGAAAAGACCTGGTGTTAATTTGCCAAGCACTTTCATATAAAATTGTTTTTAAATTTTAGAACATGTTTAGATAAAATGTTCATAATCAATTTTAAAATATTCTAGTTTATAGAGGTTTATCCTGGGATGATAATTTCCACTTACATAGAATTCAAAATCAATATATTAATGTAGTCTTTCCTCAAAATTCTTTTTTTTTTCTTGTTTTTTTATTTATTAATGAATTGGGGGTTAAACTCAGGGGTGCTTAGCCACTGAGCCACATCCCCAGCTCTTTGTATTTTTTTGAGACAGTGTAAATTCTAGTTTGGCTTGGGGCAGTGCTGATAGTTGATTTGAAGAAGTCAAGACTGCCTTCTAGGTAGTGATTGAAAATCAAGGAGGTCGATCCAAAACAGTACAAGGGATCTGGGGAATATACCTCAGGAGTAGAGTGCTTGTCTAGCATGTGTGAGGACCTGGGTTCCATCCCCAGCACTACCAAAAAAATAATAATCAAAACAGTATTTGGGCCCCAAGGACCTTGAAGAAGATCTAAACAAGGGGCTGGGATTGTGGCTCAGTGGTAGAACTCTTGCCTAGCATATGCGAGGCCCTGGGTTCAATCCTGAGCACTACATAAAAATAGATAGATAAAAATAAAGATATTGTGTCCAACTACAACTTAAAGGAAAAAAAAAAAAAGATCTAAACAAAGGTGACCTGTTCTCTTTGCATGGTTCGAAGAAAGGAAGGTCTCAAGCTAGATATCTCAAGTTGCTAATTCCCCCCCAAGTCTAGTAGACTATTTCCAGATCTACTTTTTATTGGAGGAGGATATCCTTCTCTAGAATGCTGAGGTAGAAAGTCAGATTCTATCATTAAAAATGATAGAAACTTTACTGTCATAGGAGAGTTGTACCAACCCCTTCCTGCGACTACATGCACACTTAAAAATAATGTACATAAGTGACACATTTTGACATACTCACATGGCTTATGCTGGGTACATGGATGAATTGCAAAATGGCATAATGGGCTTACATATATGGATGTAAATGGGGCATACGTCACAGTGACATTGGGAATAGCTCAAGTTAAGTGTGCAGTTTAACTACAAAGATGAGAACTCATTACACTCACTTTGCCTTCCCACTTTATAAAAAAAAAACCCATCAAATACTAGTTATTTCTCTGTAAGATATGAGTAACAAGGATTTTTTTAAATGGCAGTGTTTTAAAATGGCATAAGAATTTTTATTAATACTGATTTCATGTAACATTGAGATTAAAAATACATATCTATTTAAGTGAATCGTAGACTGGGGACTGATTTAGTAAAACTATTTTATTTTTTTAATTAATTAATTATTTTTTAGAGGGAGAGAGAGAGAATTTTTTATTATTTTATTTTTTAGTTATCGGCAGACACAACATCTTTGTATGTGGTGCTGAGGATCGAACCTGGGCCGCACGCATGCAAGGCGAGCGTGCTACCACTTGAGCCACATCCCCAGCCTATAAAACTATTTTAATTCTTCATGAAATCATTTTAAATTTCAGATTTATTAAAATAGAATAAAATAGCAATTGAAATTTAAAGCAAATTTAAATAAATACATTCTTATAGAATTCTATATCATTTTATTACCAAATTCTGAAAAATACATACATTTTGAATAGAGATACCAAACAGAATGTTCCCTAAAGATATAAAATTGAAATATATTGCCAGGGGTTCGAGGCAGAAGTGCCTACCTCACGTGTGTGGAGCCCTAGTTTGTTTGATCAGCAACACACAAAAATATTTGAAATATTTCTCCTGTTGGGGGTTCACTTTTTTTTTTTTTAAGTTGTCAATGGACCTATATTTTTAGTTATTGGTATGTGGTGCTGAGACTCTATCTGAGTGCCTCACATGCTAGGCAAGGGCTCTACCAGCAAGCCACAACCCCAGCTCTCACTTTACTTTTGTGTAGTACCACTTAAAAATTATTTTTAAGTATGTTTAACCATTATTCCTGGACAGGTACAGTGATGTACACCTGTAATCCCAGGACCTGTAGAAACTGAGGCAGGAGAGTTGTAAATTTAAGGCCAGCCTTGGTGAGGTAGTGAGAGCCTGCCTCGGAATGAAACATAAAAAGGACTGGGGATGTAGCTTAGTGAGTGTTATGGTGCCCAGTACTGTAGGAAAAAATATTTGTGTCGTAGAAATCCTGTTACTTTTAAACTGCTTTGAAGCCTAAAAATGATTTTTATTTATAGAATTAACTGTATGTAACACATTATTTTAGTATCTTAAGAAAAATTTAGATATATAGGTAATCTAATTTTTTTTCTTATTTACCTATAGCAAGAATAGATGAAGTTCAGGATTCCCAAGGAAATATTGATCAAGTTGCTGTTGTGGCTACCAATGTTCTGTTTTTTGTGATTTTATTTATATTTGCCCTTTTTGAAACGTAAGTTTTATTCTGTCTTCATCTAAATCAGATTATTTATTAATTTGTATTTCTTAATGCAGTGTTAATTAAACATACTGATATTATAAAATATCTAATGTAGGGCATATTTTTCTTATGATGTAAAAAGTATATATTAATTTTGTATCATGATTTAATTAACTTTAAGCTATATAGCTCCATATTTATGTATGCAGCATTCAGTGTGGCAACTTTAGATGTATTTAATCCTTGATTATGAAAAAAGAAAAATTAGTATAAAATCTCCTGTAGGCTTCATTGACTTTAATTATCATATGGACCTTTCATTTTAAAAATACTGTTCTATTAGACTATAAAGATAGTACATTCTTGCTGGGCGCCGTGGCACATGCCTGTAATCTTAGCGGCTCTTGAGGCTGAGACAGGAGGATTACAAGTCCAGCCTCAGCAGTTTTTAGCGTTGTAGCATATATTAGAATTTCTTTAACTTTTTAAAGCTGAATAATATTCCATTGTAGGTATTGTTACATTTTATTTATCTATTCATCTGCTGACACTTTGATTGTTTTACTTTTTGTATTACAAATAATGTTGCTATGAACATTGATGTATGAATATTTGTTTGACTCTTGGCTTTCAGTTCTTTAGAGTATAGTAGAGATTGAACTCAGGGGTGTGCTGTATCACTGAGCTACATCCCCACTCCACACACACAGTTTTTCTTTTTGGAGATAGTGTCTTGCTAAATTGCTAGGCTGGCCTCAAATGTATGATCCTCTGGCCTCAGCTTCTTGAGTTGCTGGTCTTAACAGGCCAGTGCCATCACACCAGGCTTTCATGCTTAATTTTTTGGGAAACTACCAATGTGTTTTCTTTTTCAACTCACATGATTTTAAAGCTTAAAATTACACTTGTTCTTTTTAAAAACATATTTTAAATATAAATGCCATTTTGTAGTCAGTTAATAGGAGGAGGGAAAATGTGGGAAAAGAAGCTTGGCAAGGAAGGAGACAATCATTTAAAGGAAGAGAGAAATTCAGAGGTAGGGAGAAATCTATATACTTTTAAAGGTAGGGATAAAAGAGACTGAGGAAGAGAAAAATAATCCAAAGGATTCTAATACTTATTAGCAACATTTCACTGGAAATAAAATAATTTATTTATTTTTTTAGCAGTATAGTGTATTTTATAAAGATAATTAAGATAATAGGCATTATTTTATAAACAAATAAGAACAGTTCTGGACCGCTTGCAGCATATACAAGTGACAACTTTAAAAATTTACTTTTGCAGAGGTTCTTTAAGGAGGAACACTGGTCACCACATAGAAAGAACACCCCCAAGGGAGACCAGTCAGTGGCACGCCTGCCCTCCCAGATTCAAAGCTTCACTGAGAAGAGAGATCTGTTTAAACCAAAGAATAATCATGATGATTTAGTTATGTTCGAATGATAGGAGTTATGATTGGTTTGGTTTAATTCCTTTTCCTGTTTTTTAGACTTTTTGCAGTACAGCTACAGCTATATTACTTATGTAATTAAAGTAAATATTAATAAATAGGGAAGCTTAGGTATGTACAATAAAATATGCTTAAGATGTGTTTATTCAATCTTGCGTATAACATAGGTAGGCCATTGTCATTGTTAAAAGGGATGCAAACACTTGAATGTGAAGGTATCATTAAAGTTTATACTTCATTTTAACAATTACTGTGATTTAAATAAAATAACAATGGTTTATTTTTTATTTTTCTTAGAATCCTTGCTCCATTGACAATGGACATGTATGCTTGGACTCAAGAACAAGCTGTATTGTATAATGGAATAATACTTGCTGCTCTTGGAGTTGAGGCAGTTGTTATTTTCATGGGGGTTAAATTACTTTCCAAAAAGTAAGTTTTGTCTGGTTTTGTTTCAAATCTAGTTTTTAAAAATCAAAACATGAAACATGGCTGGGGTTGTGTCTCAACGATAGAGCGCTCACCTGGCATGTGCGAGGCCCTGGGTTCGATCCACAGCACCACATAAATAAAGATATTGTGTCCAACTAAAAGAAGAAAAAACATGAAACACAGCTAGCTAATAACAATGTCAGTAAATATGCTATAAAATAATTTAAAGTTTTTCTCTCATTTATGTATTAGTTTTAGTTTTGGAAATTTTCAAACAGATTTAAATTAGATTGTTAAGCATGATATTTCTGTATTCTGGCTTTTCTTTAATATTGTTTTTATATTTTTTATACTTTATTTGCTGAGGATCGAACCCAGGGCCTCAAACGTGCTAGGCAATCGCTCTATCACTGATCCACAACCACAGCCCCTCTGGCCTATCTTTGGTGAAGCAAAATATTTTACCAAGCAAATAATTGTCTACTAATGTAGCTTTTGTGTGTTATGAAATAGTTTAAAAAGTATTTCTAAAAGTTTTATGTGTTTCATAAGACATTGTCCTGCCATATGTAATATGTTATATAACAGAAAAGATTTGGTGGTTAAATTTGGTTAAGATTAATGAACTAATTGATTTTAGAACATTTAAGTCTTTAGTATGTAAAGTATGTAAATATCATATAATATGGCAAATATAGTTTGTAGCATTTCTCAAAACTACTGTTTTTAAAAGAATTTCTTTATGAAAGTGTAACTGTAAGAACACTTTGGAGGAAGTTCAGTCACCAACTCTAATGCAGGATGTTAACTGACCAAATCAGTTCTAATGCTTGTTAAAATCAATCAACAGATATTGAATCGGTATGTAGGGTCAGATTGCAACGGAGGGTGCTATGGAGACAGAAATCTTGCTACAATAATAGAGCAGTGCTGTGTATATGAAATGTCCAGTTCTGTACCTTCAAAGAAGTTGTGTTGGGGGCAGTAAACATGATGTGAAGGCAAGTCTTGGTGAGCACAGTGAAGAATCTGGGAGTGGTCTAGGAAGCATGGCCGAGGAAGTCATATTCAGAAAGACTTCAGGAGCTGTGGTTGTGGCTCGGTGCTAGAGCACTTGTCTAGCATGTGAGAGGCACTAGGTTTGATTCTAGGCACCACATAAAAATAAACAAAATAAAGGTATTGTGTCCATTAAAAAAAAAAAA